AAAAATGATTGTGTTTTCTGATAACAATTTGTTTGTTTTCTCATCTATTTTTATGCCCCAATACTTTTGACATGTTCTAGCTTATAACAATATATATATATATATATGGAATGATGATTTGGGCAAATATAAATTTAAATAGAAATTTTAATTCCGCATCAAAATACAATATTTTTCTCATATAAATACACAAATATTCAGTCTATCTAGTCTAGTCTATTAACTCAATTAATTTGCTTAATATGGTTGAAAAACAGTTTACATTATAATTATGCACATGATTAGAGATGGGTTAAGCAATTATTTATTTGACTTTAAGCGCAATTAGGGTTTTGCACAGTTGATTATCAACAACAAGTGCAAATGCTGAACTTTTTACAGGCAAACGAATTGATGAAATGCATTTGGTTCCAACCTATTAAACTTTGTGCTTGTCGCTTTAGTTATGGAAAATGTTTTTGCAATAACAAAAAAAAAGCAAATATTGCCTGATTTATACCCTAAAATTGGGTATAATGTTACGGTGCAAATGTATGTAACAGGCGAATAGAATATATATATATATATTTGATGGGGAAAACAAGCAGAGCCATAATACAAAGGCTAAAAACAAGCCTAACTCGGCAGCTATAAAAGATAAGACATACTATATTTGATATTTAATCTCACGTACACAAACAAGAAATATGCAACATGTTGTATATTGTTGACATATTTAAGTACTGAAAATCTCGTTAGGATCTGACTATAAACAGCGAAGTTATTAAAGAACGCAGTTTTCTATATTAGATAAGGCTAAGAAAAGAAGAAGCACAGCCACAACATATGTTCGCTAGACTTGGGCACGCTTGTTAAAAGTAATTAGCTTTCTTTTTAGATTGTTTAATATGCATTAATTTTAAAGTCCAAATATTAGCAGAGTTTTTTGGTCAAAAACTTGTTTTCTTATCTACAGCGAATATAAATCGCAAAAAAAAAGACACAATATGCGAGATAGATATCTCGCTTGAACTTTAAACCATAAGTGTAAGCCTTATAAACAGGTTTCCAACACAAGCCGATGGCTAATTAATTCAAATGAGCGTTAGAGAGAGAGAGACAAGCCTCTAAATATGGAAAACACGTGCATTTCAAGTGATTTTCGTAGAGATTTCAAAGTTTCCTTCATTCAACCTTGAGCTCTGTGTTTGGTTTGTTCTATTGGCCGCTTATCAGAGTAACTATGGCCGCTTATCGGAACATTCGCTTGGCGTTTTTATTATTGATGCACACACACACACACACACAAACACCTTTCGCATTTAATTTTTTTAAAGTTTTCTCTCTCTCTCTCTCTGGTTTTCTTTATAGGTTGCTGTACCTGATCTGGTTGAGGCTGCCAAGAATGCCGATATACTAATCTTTGTGGTGCCACATCAATTTATACCAAATTTCTGCAAGCAATTGCTGGGCAAGATCAAGCCAAATGCCATTGCCATATCCCTGATCAAGGGCTTCGATAAGGCCGAGGGCGGCGGCATTGATCTGATATCGCACATTATTACCCGCCATTTGAAGGTAAGCCCCAAATTGAGAAGATGTTCTTATGCAATCGTTAGCTAATGTTGATTCTATTATCTACAATCAGATACCATGCGCCGTGCTGATGGGCGCTAATCTGGCCAACGAGGTGGCCGAGGGCAACTTTTGCGAGACGACAATCGGCTGCACGGACAAAAAGTACGGCAAGGTGCTGCGTGATCTCTTCCAGGCAAATCATTTTCGTGTCGTGGTCGTTGAGGATGCCGATGCCGTTGAGGTTTGCGGCGCCCTGAAGAACATTGTGGCCTGTGGTGCGGGCTTTGTCGATGGTCTCAAGCTGGGCGATAATACTAAGGCAGCGGTCATTCGTTTGGGTCTCATGGAAATGATACGCTTTGTCGATGTCTTCTATCCGGGCAGCAAATTGTCCACATTCTTTGAGAGCTGCGGTGTTGCGGATCTCATCACGACATGTTACGGTGAGGCCGCGCGCGAATACAGTTGATATGAATGCACATCTTTAATTCATGTGCAAACATTTTCCAGGTGGTCGCAATCGTCGTGTCTCAGAGGCTTTTGTCACATCGGGCAAGACAATCGAAGATCTGGAGAAAGAGATGCTCAATGGCCAAAAATTGCAGGGCCCGCCCACTGCCGAGGAGGTTAACTATATGTTGAAAAACAAAGGCCTGGAGGATAAGTGCGTGCCACTTTGTATATCCAAACTAAAATCGTATTTAACAAATTGTTTATATTTATATACTTGCAGATTCCCATTGTTCACCGCCATACACAAAATTTGCACAAATCAGCTTAAGCCTAAAGATTTAATCGATTGCATACGCAATCATCCCGAGCATATGTAAGTGTTGAGTTTTTGTTTCTTGTTTTGCTTTTTGCACAGCTGCACATGATATCTCCAAGAGTTCCGTATTACTTTCCCGTAAATCCCTTCCTGTCTATGCCTACGTCCCACACACACACGAACCCACAACCTTTTGAGTTTTTCCGTATTTTGTGTTTAATTTGCAATTTTATTTCCCTTCTTGTAACAACCAATTTATGTTAATTAATTGTTTTTAGTTATGCCTATTTAAATTTAGTTTTGTGCACTCCTCAATAACTTTTAGCATGTTTTGTTGATTTAATATATACTTCTGATTAAGTTAACAATTTAATATAACAAAATATGAACAATAAAACTCGAAAACAAAATTCTAAATTATCAAATTGTAATATACTTTCAAAAAAAAAGTTTTTAATAATATATATATTTTTCTTTTAGAAATTATCGCTCATTCCCAATTCCCCCTTCATAATAGCTCATACATATTAAACCCTACATCTAATCCCAATCCAACTAATAGATCCTGCATATCATGTACATTTCTAAAAACAAGCAAAAACAATCAACGACTTTTATGTTTCATCAACAAAACAATTTGTTTTCTTCTCTTCTTTTTTATATGATTTCTCATAGGGATACGTTCATCATGCCGTCGCCAAAACTCTAAACTGTGTTAAACCAAAACAAAAAAATGTTCTAAAAGTTTAATTCGATTGTAAATACTATTTGTTTATATATCAAGTCAAGTCAAGTCAAGTCCAGTCATACACACACAAAATATTATCATGCACATCCACACACGCATTTGCAACCGATACGTATTCGAAAATCGTTTCCTTCGCCAAGCTCAACACGCATTTTATAATACAACTCGATTCTTTTTAAAATGGTTTTCAAAAACCAATGTATGTGTTCATAGGTGAAAATGTCAGTGTCATATTTGTTAAACCAAAATCAGTTTTGTTAAACACGAATAAAGTATTTAAATAATGTTTTTGTTCTGTACATATCAAAAGAAAAACGCATAATTAGCATTAAAAAAAACATACTTATTTTTGAAATGAAACATATTTTTTGAAGAAATTGGCAGCTATACAAATCGGCAGCGAGCAGTACGTATCAAAATTTGATATACTTATTATTAATTGAATTTTACGTTATTTGTTTAACTCACGTTTGTATTTGAATGCAATTTGAAATGTTACGCTTATTAAAGCCAAGCACTTTTATAAATAATGAGTTTTGTTTTCTATTCCGCAGGCAAACTTTGTAAAATATATATTAAAACACAAATTTCTAAACGTTTTTATGCACAAAAAACAAAAAAACCAAAAAAAAAACCAAACACAAGCAAATAGTCATTTTTTTTAGCACACATTTTAAAATCCTCAATACGCCAGCCAACGACAAGAATGGCATATACATAGGTTGTTAATTTATTGTTAAAATCCAACGCATATCCAGCGAACCACAGAAACGAACAAAAACCAATCTTGAAGTCTGCTTTTTGTTTTAACTTAGTTTATAAACGATAAATTAGCAAATGAAATTGTGCGCATGTACCTAAAGACAATTGTAAATCAATTTTACAATTACAATTAAAAACAACAGAAGAGGCGTAATAAACGGAACAACAATGGTTTAATTTAAAAATTAAAAACTTAGACATACGGAATTTTATTTGCATTAGTTAATTCTACTGCAATCTAAAGTCGTAAATAAAATGTAAAATAAAAATGTGTTGAATAAATAAAAGACAAAACAAGTACTCTGCATTTATTTTGTAATAGATTTTATAAAGGCTGCAGGGAGTGTTTGAACCGAACCGACTTGATCTTAAAAGTTTGTCAAAAATTTAACTATACAAAATAAATTATTTAAAAAAATGCTTACAAATATGCATATCAAGTTTTGAATCCAAGCTGGGCTTGGAGTTGTGGAAAATCGGGTTCTGTAGCCCCAAGGCGAGAAAATGCCTCGCACCTGCTTGTCGCTTTAGTTATGGAAAATGTTTTTGCAATAACAAAAAAAAAGCAAATATTGCCTGATTTATGCCCTAAAATTGGGTATAATGTTACGGTGCAAATGTATGTAACAGGCGAATAGAATATATATATATATATTTGATGGGGAAAACAAGCAGAGCCATAATACAAAGGCTAAAAAAAAGCCTAACTCGGCAGCTATAAAAGATAAGACATACTATATTTGATATTTAATCTCACGTACACAAACAAGAAATATGCAACATGTTGTATATTGTTGACATATTTAAGTACTGAAAATCTCGTTAGGATCTGGCTATAAACAGCGAAGTTATTAAAGAACGCAGTTTTCTATATTAGATAAGGCTAAGAAAAGAAGAAGCACAGCCACAACATATGTTCGCTAGACTTGGGCACGCTTGTTAAAAGTAATTAGCTTTCTTTTTAGATTGTTTAATATGCATTAATTTTAAAGTCCAAATATTAGCAGAGTTTTTTGGTCAAAAACTTGTTTTCTTATCTACAGCGAATATAAATCGCAAAAAAAAGACACAATATGCGAGATAGATATCTCGCTTGAACTTTAAACCATAAGTGTAAGCCTTATAAACAGGTTTCCAACACAAGCCGATGGCTAATTAATTCAAATGAGCGTTAGAGAGAGAGAGACAAGCCTCTAAATATGGAAAACACGTGCATTTCAAGTGATTTTCGTAGAGATTTCAAAGTTTCCTTCATTCAACCTTGAGCTCTGTGTTTGGTTTGTTCTATTGGCCGCTTATCAGAGTAACTATGGCCGCTTATCGGAACATTCGCTTGTCGTTTTTATTATTGATGCACACACACACACACACAAACACCTTTCGCATTTAATTTGTTAAAGTGGTCTCCCTCTCTCTCTTTATAGGTTGCTGTACCTGATCTGGTTGAGGCTGCCAAGAATGCCGATATACTAATCTTTGTGGTGCCACATCAATTTATACCAAATTTCTGCAAGCAATTGCTGGGCAAGATCAAGCCAAATGCCATTGCCATATCCCTGATCAAGGGCTTCGATAAGGCCGAGGGCGGCGGCATTGATCTGATATCGCACATTATTACCCGCCATTTGAAGGTAAGCCCCAAATTGAGAAGATGTTCTTATGCAATCGTTAGCTAATGTTGATTCTATTATCTACAATCAGATACCATGCGCCGTGCTGATGGGCGCTAATCTGGCCAACGAGGTGGCCGAGGGCAACTTTTGCGAGACGACAATCGGCTGCACGGACAAAAAGTACGGCAAGGTGCTGCGTGATCTCTTCCAGGCGAATCATTTTCGTGTCGTGGTCGTTGAGGATGCCGATGCCGTTGAGGTTTGCGGTGCCCTGAAGAACATTGTGGCCTGTGGTGCGGGCTTTGTCGATGGTCTCAAGCTGGGCGATAATACTAAGGCAGCGGTCATTCGTTTGGGTCTCATGGAAATGATACGCTTTGTCGATGTCTTCTATCCGGGCAGCAAATTGTCCACATTCTTTGAGAGCTGCGGTGTTGCGGATCTCATCACGACATGTTACGGTGAGGCCGCGCGTGAATACAGTTGATATGAATGCACATCTTTAATTCATGTGCAAACATTTTCCAGGTGGTCGCAATCGTCGTGTCTCAGAGGCTTTTGTCACATCGGGCAAGACAATCGAAGATCTGGAGAAAGAGATGCTCAATGGCCAAAAATTGCAGGGCCCGCCCACTGCCGAGGAGGTTAACTATATGTTGAAAAACAAAGGCCTGGAGGATAAGTGCGTGCCACGTTTTATATCCAAACTAAAATCGTATTTAACAAATTGTTTATATTTATATACTTGCAGATTCCCATTGTTCACCGCCATACACAAAATTTGCACAAATCAGCTTAAGCCTAAAGATTTAATCGATTGCATACGCAATCATCCCGAGCATATGTAAGTGTTGAGTTTTTGTTTCTTGTTTTTCTTGTTTTGCTTTTTGCACAGCTGCACATGATATCTCCAAGAGTTCCGTATTACTTTCCCGTAAATCCCTTCCTGTCTATGCCTACGTCCCACACACACACGAACCCACAACCTTTTGAGTTTTTCCGTATTTTGTGTTTAATTTGCAATTTTATTTCCCTTCTTGTAACAACCAATTTATGTTAATTAATTGTTTTTAGTTATGCCTATTTAAATTTAGTTTTGTGCACTCCTCAATAACTTTTAGCATGTTTTGTTGATTTAATATATACTTCTGATTAAGTTAACAATTTAATATAACAAAATATGAACAATAAAACTCGAAAACAAAATTCTAAATTATCAAATTGTAAAATACTTTCAAAAAAAAAGTTTTAAATAATATATATATTTTTCTTTTAGAAATTATCGCTCATTCCCAATTCCCCCTTCATAATAGCTCATACATATTAAACCCTACATCTAATCCCAATCCAACTAATAGATCCTGCATATCATGTACATTTCTAAAAACAAGCAAAAACAATCAACGACTTTTATGTTTCATCAACAAAACAATTTGTTTTCTTCTCTTCTTTTTTATATGATTTCTCATAGGGATACGTTCATCATGCCGTCGCCAAAACTCTAAACTGTGTTAAACCAAAACAAAAAAATGTTCTAAAAGTTTAATTCGATTGTAAATACTATTTGTTTATATATCAAGTCAAGTCAAGTCAAGTCAAGTCCAGTCAGACACACACAAAATATTATCATGCACATCCACACACGCATTTGCAACCGATACGTATTCGAAAATCGTTTCCTTCGCCAAGCTCAACACGCATTTTATAATACAACTCGATTCTTTTTAAAATGGTTTTCAAAAACCAATGTATGTGTTCATAGGTGAAAATGTCAGTGTCATATTTGTTAAACCAAAATCAGTTTTGTTAAACACGAATAAAGTATTTAAATAATGTTTTTGTTCTGTACATATCAAAAGAAAAACGCATAATTAGCAAAAAAAAAAAAAAAACATACTTATTTTTGAAATGAAACATATTTTTTGAAGAAATTGGCAGCTATACAAATCGGCAGCGAGCAGTACGTATCAAAATTTGATATACTTATTATTAATTGAATTTTACGTTATTTGTTTAACTCACGTTTGTATTTGAATGCAATTTGAAATGTTACGCTTATTAAAGCCAAGCACTTTTATAAATAATGAGTTTTGTTTTCTATTCCGCAGGCAAACTTTGTAAAATATATATTAAAACACAAATTTCTAAACGTTTTTATGCACCAAAAACAAGAAAACAAAAAAAAAAACCAAACACAAGCAAATAGTCATTTTTTTTAGCACACATTTTAAAATCCTCAATACGCCAGCCAACGACAAGAATGGCATATACATAGGTTGTTAATTTATTGTTAAAATCCAACGCATATCCAGCGAACCACAGAAACGAACAAAAACCAATCTTGAAGTCTGCTTTTTGTTTTAACTTAGTTTATAAACGATAAATTAGCAAATGAAATTGTGCGCATGTACCTAAAGACAATTGTAAATCAATTTTACAATTACAATTAAAAACAACAGAAGAGGCGTAATAAACGGAACAACAATGGTTTAATTTAAAAATTAAAAACTTAGACATACGGAATTTTATTTGCATTAGTTAATTCTACTGCAATCTAAAGTCATAAATAAAATGTAAAATAAAAATGTGTTGAATAAATAAAAGACAAAACAAGTACTCAGCATTTATTTTGGAATAGATTTTATAAAGGCTGCAGGGAGTTTTTGAACCGAACCGACTTGATGTACAAAGTTTGTCAAAAATTTAACTATACAAAATAAATTATTTAAAAAAATGCTTACAAATATGCATATCAAGTTTTGAATCCAAGCTGGGCTTGGAAATGTGGAAAATCGGGTTCTGTAGCCCCAAGACGATAAAATGCCTCGCACCGTGAACCGAACTACAAAAAAGGTTTATTAGGTTTGCAGCCTCAGCATATTCTTTACTTGGCGCCTTAGTTCAAATATACGTGAGAAACTATCGATAACTCTTACATTTGTATATCGATTACTGCCGAACAGCTGTTGGGCTGACATTTTGCAACACTTGAAATACAACTCTGTGTTTACGTTTCTCGCTGACTGTTCATTTTTTTTTGGCAATAACAAAATTTTTTTTTTCCCTTGCCCAGTGGAATATTTTAGCGACACAAAACAAGAATAAAGCTCAATAATGCTATTAAATAGCTGCATAATTGTATAAAAATCAATAACTGTATTTACGTATTTGTTGAATATGTGGCACTGTGCGTTTACTCTGCACTGGACAATGGCGTCATAAATGCCTTTGTGTATTTTCATAGGGGCAGTAGCCAAATCATAAACATCAAAATAGAATTAGGTGAACTACGTGAAATGCCAGCTGCAAATTGTGTTTCTGTACGTGTGTGTGTGTGTGTACGTACGAATGTGCTTATTAATATATTGTTGCTGTGTGTTGTTGTTTTTTTTTTTTTCAGTTGACAGACGTAAAAATCTGCAACGCATAAAGCTGAAACACCTAGGCTAATAAGAAAACGCAGTTGAAAGCAATAATTTAATCTGAACAGACGCTTTATGGCCTTCCATTTGTAGTCAATGAGATGGACCCGCAAAAGATCACCGAATTGGCCAATTTGCTGCGCAAGAATGGTGATAAAATCCTGAGCTCCGAATTTACCTTGACCTTATCAGGTGAGCAGCAGCAGCAGCAGCGGCAGCAGGCGTGGATGGGCATGCGGGTGAGACATGACCGCACCCACCAGTTGCTTTGTTCTAAGCTCAGTCTGCTTATCAGCTTAACCCATTTTGTTAATCTCACACACATTCACTCAAACAATTGCAGGTCCGCTGCTGCGTGCTTTGAACGATTCCTTTACTTTGATCGCGGACAGCGATATTGTGGCTGGAGCGGGCCTTGGCCCAACCCAGAAGCACCAGCATGCATTTCAGGTGGTCAAACCCATCAATGCCAAGTCGAGCGTGTTTCCGGATCTGCAGCTGCTACATGATTTCGTGCAGAAGACAACGTTACTGAAGCTCAACTATTTCCCCAACGATCATTACTTTGAGGGCGCCATAGACATATGCAAGTTTCGTGCGCTGCGTCGCCTGGAGGTGCACAAGATCAACATATGCCAGGTGGTGGGAATTCAAGCGCTTCGCGCCCAGCTCCAGCATTTGATATGCATCAAGAGTATAAGCAATGTGGAGGATATCATAACGCATTGCGGCGGCGATAATTCGAATGGTTTTGTCTGGAACGAGCTGCAGTCCGCGGACTTTAGCTACAACAATTTGCGTGCAGTGGACACGGCCCTGGAGTTTGCCCAGCACTTGCAGCATTTAAATTTGCGGCACAACAAGCTGACCAGCGTTAGGGCCATCAAGTGGCTGCCGCATCTAAAGACGCTCGATCTGAGCTACAATTGTCTGACGCACCTGCCACAGTTTCATGTGGAGGCCTGTAAACGGCTGCAGGTGCTCAACATAAGCAATAATTATGTGGAGGAACTGCTCGATATGACCAAGCTGGATGCGCTTACTACCATGGATTTGTCTGACAATTGCCTGCTCGAGCATACGCAACTGTTGCCGCTGAGCGTTCTGATGACGCTCACCACGCTCAATTTGCAGGGCAATCCCCTCGCCTGCCATCCCAAGCATCGCCTGGCCACGGCACAGTATTTGCACAAGAATACCGCGACTGTGAAATTTGTGCTGGACTTTGAGCCGCTATCGAAGGCCGAAAAGGCATTGACTGGCAGCCAGCAGCTGCGCTTTGTGGGCACCATGAGTCATCGGCTAGTCAGCAGTTATGTATCCATAAATAGTTCACGTGCCTCCGTCAATACGCCAGCTTCTAGTGTGGGCTCGCAGCTTTCGCTCTCGGTCAGAGGCAAGGATTCATCGTCCGAGGCAGAGCAAGCGCCACCGGATCTGCAAATTAGCAAAAAACGAACTAAAAAACAACGCACTGTGGATATCGCTGAACATGGCGAGGAGACGGCAATAGAAGCAGTTACCACAATCGCAACCCCCGATGCAAATAGTCTGTTACAAGAGAGGCCACAAGAGACCACAGATGGCAGCCATTTGGAGACGAAAAAGCAAATTGAGACACTGCGTCTCAAGTATGGCAACGAGTGGCTGCAGTCGGGCAATGCGGAGCTAATGCTGGGCATTGACACGCCGCAGCCCAGCGAACAGGCGCGTCACGTGGCACGCCAGCAGTTGAACGAGTTCCTGGGCGAGTTTTCGTCGGGCGCGCAACAGGCCGATTCGGAGCCAGAGCTGCTAAATATCAGCTCCACGCCCACGAACAACAGCAATTGGAAGGTTGGATTTGAATCAAAATTGACGCCCAACAATACAGATGGCAGCCCCACGGATGCCGCCAACCTAACACAGCAAACAGTTTACGAGTCATGCGACAGCAGCATTCAGACGCAATATGAGAGCACGAACGATACAATGCAGGAGGAGCAAACGGAGAGGAACGAAGTGCAGCAGCAAGAGATTGACAAGCACAAGGAGGTGCTAAGTCGCTATGCAGCTGCGAGCGCTGAGCAGGATGAGGAACCAGGTGATATTCTCACGAATGTTGCAACAAGAACCGCGCCTAAAATCATGTTTTTTCTACTCTTTCAGTTTCCGAAGAAGAGCCCGATGAGAAGCTGTATATTGTCTACCATGCGCAAAAGACCAGCGAGCCATTGTTCCTTACGATATCCTCGAATTATATTCGCGAAAAGGATGCACTCAGCGAACGGTATGTGTTTGCCTTCTATATATTATTTATTTATTACATATATTTACTTTCAGCACCAAGACCAAATGGAGCATCAAGGTATTGGAGTCTTGTGAGCGAATCAAATCGAATACGCTGCGCATTAATTTTGATACAATGCAAAAAGATAAACAGGAGCGCATTTATTGTGTGGAGAATGCATTATGCCAGGTATATGAGAGATATCCATATCGAAACAATTAATAAAACTGTGTACACTTAGGAACTTGAGAAGAAACTACGCGACATTCTGTCCCAGCGTGATCTCACCGACATGAACATAACCATTTATAGCTGCATCAATTGTGGCATCAAGTTTACCAGAGAGCGCAAAATCAAGAACTACAAGGCAGCGGGTACAATGAGCCACAGTGGACACTAAACTAAAATCGATTCTGACTGCAATTTTAATTAATTTTTTTTTTGTTTGACAGAGCCACGTTGTCCGGACTGTCGCAGCTTGTTCGTCGCGGAGGTGAACGATGATGTAACCGGCTCGCTGGACAAGCCCAAAGTGTCCAGCATGGAGCCGAAGCTGTCGCCAGCATTAATTGTGGAGGAATCGCCAGTGAGCACGCCGCTGGTATTGCAGTCCAAGGAGGACAATCAAAGTATTGGCAAGTTTTTGTCTAGTCTTCTATATTATATCGAGAAAGTTATGGAAATTATTTATGAACAAAAGCAAAAACAACAAAAACAAATACATTTAATATATAGTTTTGTATAACATATTCCAATGTATTTCGGTTTTGTTAGCTACGTTTAGTTTATAATTCTTGTAGTTATAATTTTGGCTATTTGTTAAAATTCGTTTAATCGTATTTAATATGGTTTTTAATTTAATTTTTTATTTCTTTTTCTTTTTGCATGCTATTAATTACAAAACCCAAACACACACACACACGCACACGCCCATATATATATATATATATATCACACGTAAATCAAATGGCAAAATGCGATCTAACTTTTGTATATTTTTATATATTCTTTTTTATATACTTTTCGCTCATCCAACTACAACAACAACAACAACAACAATCTTCTACAATTGTTAAATACTATTTAATTATTTAGTGGCCAACAGCAGGCTCATCGCTAATAACACACCCAAGCGTAGGAGTTTGATGCAAACCACAAAAAGTTAATATTCCAATTGTATTGTATTTCGAATTTTCAATTTATTCTATTTATTTTCCTTTGTTGTTTAACAACAATTTGCATTTGGCTTCTTGTTGTAAATGTGAAGCAGCATTTGGGCAGCATGAAAACAAAATTAACAAAATCAATTTATACAGCTAACAACAATTAAATCTATTCAAAATTTTTGTAAACTGCTAACGCACCATTTAAGCTACGATCACTAAAGAGAGAGAGAGAGAGAGCAATGCAATGCTGCTTCCATTAGAGATTATTAATTGTATTGAGCACTATTTCAAGCCCAACTAATGCTTGTCCATTGTTCCACAGGCTCGGCTAATTCGTTAAATGAGAGCAGCTCCTGCTCGAAGATAACCAACTCGCAATGCTCCTTTGACTCCAATCAGTCGGTGGTGGGCAGCTCCAATACAGAGCGCGATTTAGAGTTTCGCGCCAATGAGAGCGATGTGGACATTATATCCAATCCGAGCCAATCCAGCATTGAGGTGCTGGATCCCAACCTAGTGCAGAGCGCCAGTCGCAAAACCTCCGAGGAGCGTCGCATATCCCAGATACCGAATCTGCAAACCATTGACGATCACCAAAGTCAAACCCAAAGCTTCATTGAACGCGAGTTTGGGCAATTGCTCGCCGAACAGGCCAGAGCACAGACAGTGTCAACGCAGGCAACAATAGTCAATGTGGACGCAACAGCGAAGGCCAAGGCCTTGGCTCACGTCCAGCTAACAGAGAGCAGTTCGTCGGGTTCGGTGACCGACAGCATATGCACCACCTACGAGCAGCAGGCCAAGCATCAGCCGTCGGAGAAGGCTCAACGGCAGGCAACGGACGATGCCATCATTCTGCACAATATGCTGCTGGCCGAATCTGGCGGGAGCACGAGTCAACAAAACAACAACAACAACAACAACTATGAAGTGACGGCCGCAAATGGTCATCATGAAACGAAACATTTAAAGACAGCCGAAGATGCGGGCCTATCTTCCATGTTTGGCGGTATGTAAAACAAATATTTAATGTATTTGAGGTATATTTATGTTAATGTTGCCTTAAAATAGGCTCTGTACGTCTTACTTGGAAATATGAGAAGCGCATAGAAAGGTGATGTTTTTAATCAGTAGCGACAATAAGAGAGAGCTGTCGTGAGGGTGAAAGTAAAATCTTTTTCCTTTAGATCTTAAACTAGAGAGCAGAGTCACATATAATTTATAGGATAAAAATAATTAACTATAAAAAATTGGCTAGAAGGGATATCTGCACTTAAGAAGAAAGGCAAAACTCCTATAAAAGGTATTTGCATGTAAGAATTTTGACAATTTTCAGGAAGTAAACTACGAATTTTTGATATACGATGATCCAGGTTAGAGTCCCAGGCTAATTCTGTTCAAAGAGTTAGGTTATTAGCTTGTACTAATAGCATAGCAATAAGTAAACAATTTTCAGAATTTGCTCATGAAATTAATCATAATCTTTGACATTTACAGCACTTTTTCAGTCGACCAACATGCTAATGTCCAGTTCGAAGAAGCTAATCGAAACGGAGGCCAGTGCCAGCGCAATTCAGCCATATAAATTTAATTATAGCGATTACAATGACATCGATCATCGATTGAAGCTCTATTTCTATCAGAGCAAGTTCAAAGAGGTGGGCGAGCACTTCAAGTGGCTGGCCAAGGGTCGGATATACAATGAGCAAACGCAAACGATGCGCGATGGCTTATTGGTAATGTCCACCTGCAAGTGTTATCTGATGGAAGCGTATGCGCCGCCACAGGATGATGTCGCCAAGTGGCTGCGTCAGGTGGTTAGCGTAACAGTGAATCGTCTGACACGCATACAGCTGTTGCCCTGGAAACTGGGCTTGTCGTTTAGCCTGCGCCACTGGGGTGGCTTTGCGCTAATTTTACAGGATATGCTGCGCACAAACAGTTTACTGGCGTACCTGGCAGGTAAGTGAAGTGGCTAAGCTATATTATATTTGCTCTACATTCGCTTCTGTTTCGCTAGACAACCCGCTCCCCGATGGGTGTGAGCTGATCCAGCATCCGACGTATGAGGTGCGTCAACAACTCAAATCGCTGATGGGTGAACCGATTAGGATGTGCGCCGTGCTCAGCGGCTGCCAGTGGATATGTGTTCCGGAGAAGCGCAGTTTTGAGCTCTGCACGCTGCTGACCACAGACACACAATTGCATATTGCCGGCAATGGCAAATTTAATTGGCTGACAGCAAACGAGGAGCAGCCCATTGAACTAACGCTGACACAGCAAATGAGCAATCTGGTGGAGGTGGAACGGATTACGGATTTCGAGTACAATGTTAATTTTCTGGATGAAACCGAAAACAAATGCGAATTGTGGCATTTGCAGTTTGAGACACTGGCGAATGCCGAGTGCTGTCTGAATGCCATTGGGAAATCTTGGGAGAAGCTATTTGGCGTGCCATTTAGCTACTCCGGTACGTAGTATTCGTCTATTAGTAAGGGACCAACTATATTCATATCATATCAAACCAGACAAATGTATATATAGCTTACTTTGAATATGTGTTAATTTGAAATTGAATTGTAAGCATTACCTTATCTATTGATCTGCATATATATATATATATATCATATTTAACTAAATATATTACAATAATGCCTAGCTTTATAAATTGAAAATATGTATCTATATTTAAATATCTTAGTGCTTACTTTATGAATCATGGACAATATTGAGCAACAAGCGAGACATGGTGTATATATGGAAGTCAAATGTAAACTATGTACAGCAAATAATTCAAATCACGTGCGATCTAAATATATCTTAATTGCCAAGAAGGTATGATAATAGCCAAACGTTAATAGATCATGTTTTGTAATAGCATTCATAGTTTATATTTATTCTTAAAATATTTATATTTTCGCCAGTATTTTCTTCATTTTGAACTTTAAATCAGGCTTAAATCTTTTGAGTACCGAAGTTTAAAACGCAGGCTTTTCCATTTCCTAAATATATTTGAAATTAAATTTCCCTAATCTATAGAAAGAGCAGCTATTCAATAATGGGATCGAGCGCAATATTATATGTATTGCCATTGACTTTATAAATAACGTTATTGTTATATATTAATAAAATTTTGAGTATACGACAGCTGAACGACATAATTCTCAGGTTTTTTTTTATGTTTCAGAAAGAAATATGTAACATATTTTAAAAAATTGTGGAACTTTCTTATGTGATCGTAACTCGCCAATTATAATTAAAGCATATAGTCTTTATGGGAAAAACTGTTACATCACATACATTATACGATTCGTGGACAAAATGTAAAATCCTCGGTGGAAGTGGAACAATATGGAGTTGCTTTCTGAAATATGGTCAATGTATTCTTGTCCAATATAGAAATGTACCTGATTAGTTACATTTATGAGGATAAAACGCTGGAAAGTAGCAAAAAAAAAAAAATTTGAAGACGCATTTGCGCAGCTAGTCTACGTTAGATGGCGCTGCTTGAGTCCGACAGGGCACAGAGGGCGCCACGTGTACCAATTTTTAACCTAAACTGATTAAAGCACTGAATCGAACGATTTAATAAAAATCAGTTATTGTCATTAATTATTTGTGCTTTGTACAGTTATTTATTGTACTTGGGCTTTACATTTAAATTATAACAATTTGCGCCACCTAGCTAAAGTATATACAATACCCCCAAACTCTTGCAATCGTTTTACTTGTCACCCAATTGTTCGGCTATCCAATCGAGATGTTCCTCCTTATAGCGCGGATCGGCCATAATCAAGGCCGTTGACTTGGATGTGTAGTAGTAGAAAACCGACACTATGAAATTGGTATCAAAAGATAATCGTGCGTGTTTAAAGAAAAGTTGTGTAAACTTGCAACTTACTCAGGCGCTGGAGCACCGTTAGGGCATAGAGGGCCAAGGGCCATTGCTGAGCGGATTCTGAGGCAGACAAACGATACTGATAGACAGTCCAGGAGTGCTGTGAGGCGGACAGCAGAAAATAGACCGTAATGCTGAACAAAAATAGCTTGCAATTGCGCAGGATAATGTGGGAGGCGCCCACCTGATAGACGCAGGTCGAATGTAGCGCCAGTGTGAACAGCAGATATTCAACAATAATGAACGCGTCCTGAATGCTTTTCGGTGATTAAGGAATATTGTTTAGATAACATATATTAAGTTTGACAACATTTGACACTCACACAAAAAAGAATATCGCCGTTTGCAGCTTATCCCGCGACAGCCAAGAGCCAAAAGCATTGAAAAACAAATCGGCAGCCAGCAGAGCCAATTGCAATGCAACTAGCCACGAATAACGGCGCAGTGTTAATTTCATATTTAATTTGATTACTATAATTAAATATTTTCTTTAAAACTGTTCACAGTTCGGTCGTGAACTTTGTTTTGTTTGGCTTGCCTATGTTGTGTCCTTCGTCCTAGTGACGTCAAATGCGCCCACGCGAGCATGCGTGTCGAATGCATGTTAATCGACTATCGATAAGCCTATCGATATGTCAATTGCGCCCTTGCGATTGTTATGAACCACATTTTGTAACTGTTCACAAGAGTAACAGTTGATAAATGGGAGAATGCCCTCTAAGGCTGATGCCTTCATATAACAAATGTCCAATATCAAAATACCAATCAAAAATCAATTTTCGTGTATATACTCTCAGGTTATGATCAAGCTTTTCCACAAACGACGACTAGCTGATGCGCAAGTGTTTTGCACAAATCTTTAGATTACTCTCTTTTTGGTCTCTACCTACCTTTCTCTCTCTCACTCTCTTCTATGTGGCAAGTGCAAATTGAAGCGCGCCATTTTGGTATACGTGAAAAGTTTTTGGCGCCAAAATGTAGCTACATACATATATACGTGTTCCTGTATGTGTTTTTTAAGGATATTTAAATAAACATGTGAACATACCACTATGACCGATAAACAGCTGGAAACTGATATATGGAAGATTAACACACGAGCACACTACACACACTTATTGTATTTTACATCACGTACACATTTTTAATTTGTTGAAAAAAAAGTTGAAAAAAAAGAAGAATGAAAAATAACACAACGACACACGCGCCCGATCATTGATGCAGACGCGCACAAACTAAATCATCTCATTAAGCTCGCGCTATGCTCACTCCTTAAACCAGCGCTCTTTGCTGGGTGCACAACTAAAGTAACGGGATCAAAAGCATCGCCGCGGCAAATAAGTTATGTAGCTCGCATTTCTATGCACAATACACGCTCTGAGCAGGTAGCTGCTGCCTGCAGTATAACATATAACATATGCACATACGTATAACAGAATCAAATGCATCCACAAATGTCCACTCTTTGTATTTAAGCTCTCTGCAAGCAGATAAACCGTTCTACTGCGCTAAATGCGTACACACATGCATACAGTTGTCTCTTTAAATATGTATGCATGTACATGTATTTCCAGACCTCTTAATGGTCAAGCTCTTTACTGCGAGGAAATTTTATTGGTTTTTTTTGGGTTCTTTAAATATTATTGTAAGAGATAACGCGCATATTCGAATGGATATGAGCGGGCCCGGCGCAGATCCTTTAGGGCGAGCGTGGAATGCCTGCGAAATCTCACATAGTATTGTTGATTCAATTCCGAGTAATAGTTGCTGGGCAACATATGTGTCCAGCTGAGCTCCTCCTGATTTGGCTCTGGCCGCCGCTCCAGAAACTGTGAAATGGCGGAAACTGTTGATGGCTCAGAGTCGACGACGTCGGCAGCTGGAAAAACCAATTTCGGGGTCAGCAGCAACAGCAGCAACAGTCTTGTCAATTTGGCCATTTGGAATTGGTGTTAGCCGGTCAGAGATTCACCCTACACCGTTCTCCTTGGTTATGCTAAACCCGACTGCAGTCCATTTGAGATCGTCAGCAGTTTGTGCTTTTTCGCTTTTCGTTCTTATTTAGTTGTTGGTCTGCATTTTCCAGGTTTCCAACACGCTCAGCGTTTTTTCGACTGGGCTATAAAGTGGAGAGCCTCGACGCTGATCCGCTACAGTCAACCATTTGGTTCCACTACGACAGCAAGTAACACGGACAACATCTCCAAATTATCGCAATGGCACTCAACATCGGACACGTCTTTCTGGTCACCATGCTGGCCGCAATTTGCGGCGCGGAGACGATTCAGCTGCAGCCAACGCAAGGCATCCTGATCCCGGCGCCGTTGGCTGAGAACATTCGTGTATCGCGCGCTGCTTATGGTGGCTATGGAGCGCCAGCTGCTGCACCCTCCTATGCCGCCCCAGCTGCTCCGTCTTATGCTGCACCAGCCTATTCTGCACCGGCACCCGCTGCTCAAGCCTACGCTGCGCCCGCTGCTCCTGCCTACGCTGCGCCCGCTGCTCCCGCCTACTCTGCACCCGCCGCTCCCGCTGCCCCAGCCTATGCCGCTCCAGCACCGGCTGCACCCGCCGCCTACTCAGCACCCGCCTCCGTTCCATCGCCGCCCTGCCCCAAGAACTACCTGTTCAGCTGCCAACCCTCACTGCAGCCCGTGCCCTGCTCTGCGCCAGCCCAATCCTACGGCTCCGCCGGTGCCTACTCCCAGTACGTGCCCCAATACACTGTGCCCTTTGTGCGTGAATTGCTATAAACGCACTGATTGAACGTCATTTGGCTTACCTGATCCAATAAACTGAAAATATTAAGAGAAAAAAAATGCATTATTTGTAGTTTTCATATTTCTTGGGTTATGGTTATGGATGATTAGCATAATGGGTCTGGGATCTACTTTCCGAACAAATTTGAGCTTTACAAATATATAAAATATTCAAAAGGAAACTGAAACTTGGCCAATCGAATATTTAATTAAAATTGATTAGTTTTAATTAAATAAAAAATTTGGAAAAAAAAATGATCAAAAAAGCAAAAATAATATGTTTGAGATATTTTTTGGAAATTTCAAAACAGACAAATATTTTAAATTTAAAAAAAATATGAAACAAGCTAAAAATCTGTTTTCATTCATTTCAAAATTTATACATATCTAAAAAAATATATATTAAAAATTTCTTTCTAAAACTAAGTTTTTTTTTTGATATTTAAAAAAAGAAACTTATCAAATTTTAAGCTTATTAAAAATTGTTGACCAAAATATATAAAAAAAAAAAACCTATCAAATATGTAAATGTAATTAATTAATTTGTTATTTCTTTTGGACAACATCGTGAAGTTCTGTCTGATGTTATCTATTCCCACCCCGAATTGTATACACAAACTGTTATTCTTAACATTCAGTTTTATTTATAGATATAAAAAAAACAGTCCTTTGGTCTCTCAATAGCCACAATTGCCATCTGGCGCCGCACAGGGCACTGGCTTCAGTACCGCGTCGCAGGAGAATACATAGCTCTTGGCACAGGGCGGCGCCCGAATGCTGGCCGCCTGGGCGCTGGGCGCATTGCACTTGGCTGGAACGGCTGGTGGCTCTGGCTGCTCGGTTGGCGCGTAGCTGCGTGCAAAGCCGCTGCTAAAGCCGCCGCCAAAGCCACCGCTGAAGCCGCTGCTAAAGCCACCAACTGTGCCGCCGCGTCCGAAGCCGCCACGACCAAAACCGGATCCGGCGCCAAATGGCGGGCCACCGAAAGGCGGCAGACCACCAAACGGTGGACCGCCAAAACCGCCCGGGCCCAGACCCCCGAAATTGTTCTCGACAATCACCTCCTGCACGATTTGCTGCTGGCGTGGCTGGCGCACCAGCCGTTCCGCCTGCTCCTCCAGCTGCTCCGGCGTGTACAGGCGCACGGGTATGAAGCGGAATAGCTGCCCGGACGAAGGACTGCGCACACAGCGTCCATCGCAATTGGCCAGACATGTCTGCAGCCGATAACAGAAGAACAGCAGCGCTATTAACGCCCTTGTTATGGACATATCGAATTGCTGCCGATGATAATGATGATTATAAGAAGTCTTGACACCTGGCTAGACCGTGCTGGCTGCGAAGCTGTAAACTGAGACTGAGCCGGCATTGGGCTCTGGCCAGTTGGTTTTTATAAATGCGGTCAGATTTTTGGCAAAATATGCAGCGTTATGCGGAAATGCTGCCAAGCGACAAAACCAACAAGGTGCTTCAAGGTAGCCCGGCCAATTGGGTTAGTTGGTCGTCATGGGCCAAGGTAAATTCTCAACTCTAATCCCTAGCACACATTCTAAGCATTGTCTGGCCGTGTCACGACTGAACCAAATACCAAATACCTACAGTCAGCACCTGTGTCTAGATACCTCCGACTCGCCCATTTACATATATATTCATACGTTTTCATTTATATTTTGGTTTGGCCGGCTGACCACCTGCAGATTTGGGTTTATTTTGCAATCGAATCCAAACAATAATTGAGGCTAAAATCAGCTTGGTTCAAAGACCCCATCCAATAATATGCAATTATGTGAAAATTCTCTGAAGAAAGTCAGAAATCGAAAAAGTGTCTACTACGGACATATAAACAATATGCTGAGCCGACTTTTCGCTTTTTGTAGGTGTTGCTGATGATTCGGCTAACCGGACTTTATTCAAAAGAGTTCAAAGTGCTTAAAAAAAAATGTTTGTTAATAAATATACATATACATTTTATAATTAAATGAATAATTAAGTCATATTCAGCATATTGAAAACTTCAATACTTCTTAGTCTTTTTCTCAATTTGTATACCCTTGCCGAGGGTATCATCATTTTGTCGGGAAACATGTAGCGCATAAAAGAATCAGACCAGACCAGATCAGACCACTATATCATATAGCTGCTACAGGAACAATCGGAACAATCATACTTGACATTAACAAGATCTTTAAAATTTCCCTAAGTCAGCAATTAAAAGTAATTAAACTGTGAACAATTCTTTTGATATATCTGCACGACTTTGTGCCTTTTATCTGCAAGGGTATTTAATCTTCGGCTTGCCAAAGTAGAGCTGCTTTCTTATTTTGCTTCTTTTTTTTTGCCAACTCTATAAGAACTTTTGAATTTTGCATAAGACCTAAAATGAAGCATGTTGACTTAAATATTTTATAAACTAAAAATATATTCATTTTTTTGATTTAAAAACAAGATTCAGGAAACTAAATTTTACTCATACTTTTGTCAAAAACGAAACTATGGCAAGTTTATAACGTTTCTTCATTAAAAACTGCTTCTTAAGAAAATAAATAGATTTTTCTGGCAAGGTTACGCTGTCCGGTCATCTGGGTCTTTGAAGAACGTAACAGCTCGAACCTGATACACATATTTATGTAATTCAATTCAATAAAAATAATTTCACGGAAAACCTGTGCGACTTCCAGATGGAAGTGTTCGCTTATGTTTCACATTATATTGAATTTAATGTGCTTATTTATTTATTTGGAAAAACCAGAACGGAACTCTATAGTATAAGTTTGTTGAGTTTCGTTTAGTTTTCATTTGTATTGTTATTGATACGCGGTCAGGAATCAAATTCTCATTTGAAATGTGCAATTCAAAAGAACAGCTGTCGAGCTTTAGTTGCCCACAAAGTTAAAGCTATTCCAGATCTCTGGAAAAGTTGATAATACCAGCTGAGCAAAACATATGTGGCCTTTTTTTTATGGGAATGTCCATTTAATTTAATGCATATATTTTTTTTGTACATTTTCTGTGAGCATAGCTAAGATTTTTGTTTCCCGGCAGCTTTGGAAGCCGTGTCAAGTTCAAGTCTCGAGGTTTATGGATCTTCTAGTATTGGTAGCCGTAGGCCTGAGGCAGGTAGGCGCCGCCGTAGAGCGACTGCTGGTGCTGGGGCACGCCATAGTTGGGGGCAACATAGCTGGCCACGGGCGAGGAGTAAGCGCCGGCGGATCCATAGCTGGGAGCTGGAGCGCTGCAAGGCACTGGCGCCAGGTTGGGCTGGCAGCTGAACAGATAGTTCTTGGGGCAAGGTGGAGCTGGCACGCTGGAGCCGCCATAGCCGCCCGAGCTGCCGCCATAGGCGGCCTTGCGCAGACGGGTCAGATCACCGTAGCCTTGGCCCTCAGCCTCGGATTCCTGGTTGGCAATGGAAACCGAGCTGCTGCCGGTGGGCGTGGCCAGTGCGGAGGCCACAATGGCGATGAGAGCGAAGCAAACGAAGAATTTCATCTTAAAGCTGTTGGTTCTTTCTTGATGGTTACCAAAGGTGACTGATGCCCAATGCAGCCGCACTCCCAGTTTATATAGCTAAACTTTGCCAAGTTAGCATTAATCAGCAGAGACAAGTGGCTTCAACTAGTCTGTCGTTTTTTGGCATTTGCTTAATCAGCTATCACCCCATAAAAAGCCCACTACATTGCGAAAATATAATATATGGCTTATATAGTATAAGAAATATACAAACAGTTTAAATGCCCGACTGTGCATAAACACCATCGGATTTGTGGGTGAAAATTGTGTCAGCCAATTATTTTTATTGATCTATATTTAATAATGTCTCGCACCAAACCAAGTCAAGCTCTAGTTTAAATGTACTACATTTTTCCATTCTCACAGTTCTACAAATCTTTCTTTGATTCCTTTAAAGAAAGAACATTTGCCTACATAATATATATGCATATAAATACATAAACTTGTTCACACTTTGCAGAAAATTATTGAAAATGGATATCAAAAGTTGTGTTGGGTAATTTTTCCTTTTCAAAGCTTGAGGCTCCATGAAAAAATGTTTCTGTAACTTTACAAATTCACAGGCAACTGTGGAAAATTGGCGGAAAATGATTGTATAAGACGTTTTTGTCCACCATCTTTGAATTCTTTTTATACCCTGAACCCATATGTATGTAACAGGCAGAAGGAAGCATCTCCGATCCCAAAAAACAGGATATCGATATCGATTTTTATCGATTGCTTGGAAACGGAATAAGTTATCGATTATCGGAAACAAACTCGATCTGCGCGGGCACTAGGAGCACCTACATTTAAATTTCCAGACTCTCGCTCTTATAGGTTCTGAGATCCTTGCTTTCATGCATAAGGACAGGCAGACGGACGGCCGGAGGGACGGAGAGACAGACGGACATGGCTAGATCGACTCGGCTATTGATGCTGATCAAGAATATATATACTTTATGGGGTCGGAGATGCTTCCTTCTGCCTATTTCATACATTTGGATTTCGCACAAATACAATATATCCTTATACCCATTTTTAATGGGTTCAGGGCATAAAAATGTCATAGAAATACGATAAAATATAAATGATAAGAAAATGGGTAGAAAATTAAAGGAATTTTGTAAATAAATCCCAAGTTAAAAATTGTCTTTTCGTTTTTTTGAGTAAAAGAAGAAGTGGAGGTAGCATTCAGCATAAATTCTTAGTTTAACTTCTTTCACACATTTCGCACAACATTTTTATAACTCAATTTAGATTATAAATTATCACAGCATACGCATAAGCAATCCCAACTTCATCCCAAATCATGTGCGATTGCTTTAAAAATTCCAGCAAAAAACCACAATTGATTGAACAAAATAAAAAGAAATGGTGCTAAATAAATGCAAATTTAAGATTTTTTGTCAATTTAATTGAACTAGAATTTTTTTTGTACATTTTCTGTAAGCATAGCTAAGATTTTTGTGTCTCGGCAGCTTTGGAAGCCGTGTCAAGTTCAAGTCTCGAGGTTTATGGATCTTCTAGTATTGGTAGCCGTAGGCCTGAGGGAGGTAGGCGCCGCCGTAGAGCGACTGCTGGTGCTGGGGCACGCCATAGTTGGGGGCAACATAGCTGGCCACGGGCGAGGAGTAAGCGCCGGCGGATCCATAGCTGGGAGCTGGAGCGCTGCAGGGCACTGGCGCCAGGTTGGGCTGGCAGCTGAACAGATAGTTCTTGGGGCAAGGTGGAGCTGGCACGCTGGAGCCGCCATAGCCGCCCGAGCTGCCGCCATAGGCGGCCTTGCGCAGACGGGTCAGATCCCCGTAGCCTTGGCCCTCAGCCTCGGATTCCTGGTTGGCAACAGAGCCGCCGGCGTTGCTGCTGGCAGCAGAGCTGCCGCTGCTGGGTGCGGCCAGGGCGGAGGCGGCGATGGCGATGAGGGCGATGCACACAAAGAATTTCATCTTGAATCTGTTGGTTCTGCTGTGGTTACCAAAGGTGACTGATGACATGCCAAGTTCCACAACTAGTTTATATAGCTAGACTTCTGCATAGCTGGCACAAGTGGCTCCAACTATTCTGCGGCTTTGAAAATTTGCCCATTTCATAAAATTGTGCTGAGTCGAGGGAATGTTCATTTTTGGGGTCAGTTTGATGTGTATTATTTTTTTTGTTTTTCATTTTTGATGAGAAGAAGAACTATGCCGTGAGACGTTTAGGTTGGCAAAATTTGTAAAAATGGTTGGAAAGTGTGGCAACAGAGTTGGGTGGGTGGCTCATTTCTCGACTCGTTGGCATGTTGCACAATGTTAATCGTAGCCTCATTTCTTAAGCCAGCTCTACTTTAAGCTAAAATAGCTCACTGTTATGCTTGATATGTGCATATTTCTATATTTCAACATGTTTCAAATTTTTGTTGAGTTACGAAATTATTAAGACTTGAGATAAAAACTTGGTTAATGTGCCTAAAGTCAAATTGCATATATTTTCAATCATAATTGTTCCATAAATTTAAACTTTGCTTTGTAACTATTTGGCAAAAAAAAATGTATCACTAAAATAAACCTTCAAATGTTCTAATATGTGAATATATTTAACAGACTCATATAACTGAGACGTCCATGCATGAAGATGCCCAAAAAAGTTTGCAAATCTTGGTTTTTCCTAGACATTTAAACAAACATCCTTATAATTTTGTCATGAAATGTGTAACACATAGAAGGGAACATCTCCAGTCCCATTTATTAGAATATATTCCGTATATAGTCCGTCTGCCTGCCGTCTATTAGTCTTTGCGTAGGTCCAACTTTCTGTTGAAGGCATTACATATGTCGGAACCTTCCGGATCGGAGTACCAAGTCATATAGCTGCCATTGGAACAATCGGTCGAAGAGTAAGCTCTTGAGTGGAAACCTTTTTTGGTTATCAAGATATGTTGGTCAAAACCCGACAATATAAGTCAAACTATGCTGATTTCATATGTGCCAAATCTTAGCAATATCGCGCAACTAGTTTGTACACAAGAAGAATCTGTGAAAAGGGTATATTTTTATCACTCAGCAATTAAGAGCTTTACTTTTCAGATATATCTGCATACGAGGATACATATTTATTTAAGACTTTTTCACTATTTGTGATACCTCCAGGATGGGATCCGAAATATCATCTTATAACTTAATATTCTTCAAAATACTTATGCTCATGTTTGAAAATTGCCTTTTGGTCGTGCGACTAGGCTTCGAACTAATTCTGTATACATTTGCTATAATGTCTCACAATCATTACATCTCGTTTGAATAAATTTCTTAAAATTAACTTACGTATATAGAACTCTGAAGCATTGCCTTCAGCTGATTACTCATGTGCACATAAATAGTGCGAATGACAAGCTTTGTTTTTATAAATATGTATTCTATATACGCGTTTTGTTAAAGAAAGCCACAAACTGAAGTAATCAATATTATAAGAAAAATATTCAACTCTCACAAATATTGTAAAAAACATAACGAAACGAATCTTGAATTTTTCTACCATTTCTTATGTAATCAACTTCAATTTGATGTCTGCATATTTGCATATCTTCTTGATTTATGAATGCCTTCAGAATTTTTCACTTTCTTTGCGCACCTCCTACGCATTGAAATTCACATCATATACAGACAAACACACACATATATATATATATATAGTATGTGATGATTCAAAATGACTGAAAACTGAAATGCAAGTGCCAACGACCCACATTTTTGGATGAGTTTTGAAAATTTATTACGTACAGCCAAAGCGGCTGCATAAATACCAAAATTATATACTTATTTTCGAAACTGTGAAAACAAATGTGAATTTCCACAACCTATCATGAAAATACATATGTACATGCACTGCGGCTAGAAATGCCCCCCGCACCAGTCGCAGTTGCACTGCGATTAAACACACACCACAAACCGATATACACTCACTTCACAAATACTACTACACAAACATATATATTTATATTGAAATATATATACATATATATATATATAAATATATATGAATACGTATGTGGCGGCACCCGGACTTAGCATCGGCTCCCTTCTAGTCTAACGCCTTGAAAACACCGAAAAACATCTCTTTCAAGCCGAAAATCGAATACTCTATAGAGCATATTAAATATTATTATTATTCTTACCACTATTACTATTTTGAAAATATTATTATCTTTGGTAGTATTATTAGCATTAAGATTTTATTATTATTATTAGTATTTCTATTATTTAAATATTGTTATGATGATGATTATTATTATTATTATTGTTATTATTATTATTATTATTATTATTATTATTATTATTATTATTATTATTATTATTATTATTTATATTACTATTATTTTCATTATTATTTTTATTATTATTATTATTATTATTATAATTATCATTTTATTATTAATATTATCATTATCACTATTATTTTCATTATTATTTTTATTATTATTATTATTAATATTATTTTTATTAGCCTGGAATTTGAACGCGCAACTTCTACCTTAATTCTTCGCTATCTCCTAACGACTTACTCACATAGACAGCTCATCTTTTGAGTACTGCATCAACTCAATAAGTATTATTGATCTGCTGGTTCAGATACTACTTGCTTAGATAGAGTACAACTAATTATTGGCAAACATTGTGTTAAAGCACAAATATCCTGCATCAGGGCATACAGATCGGCTCATTTGGCATCAGCGTTGGCGACGACATTGGCGCTATTTTTGAGACCCCGCATGCGGTTGGATTGCAAGTGCCCAGCAGCAGCAGCGTCGGCATCATCGATCAGCCCCTTACTTTTTGGAGGGAGCAGCACACATGTTGTGCCACAGTCGTTGTTTATATGCTGTTCAATTTTTAGGATCGTTCTTATGCTACACTCACTCAATTACGCTCAAGAGTCGGCGGCTTCTCAGAAAATCTGTGTGGGGTAGTTTTTATATTTTTTGTACTTCTCAAAAGGCGATCATGTGCGATCTTCTGTGATCTTGAGTATCGCTGGGAAGCGTCTGACGCTTGTTTGGGCTGACTTTCAATTGTTGCTCTTTGAACTGTTCTTGTCTTGAGTGAATGTGTGGATGGATCACTTAATAACTTAATATGAAACTAAGACAGCGCGATGTCTATGTGTATCGTACGATCCTGTCTCTGAGCCGGCTAATTGCAATCTAATTAATATCAATTACTATTTGATAATAATCTTTTAGATCACGAGAACAATTTTTTATAAATAATCTCTGTGTATATTTTTTTCTATAAATGATCAAATTCCAATTAATTACTAAAATAGGTATAAGATATATATATATCTATTAAATAATATAATAATTAATATTAAGATTATGTCAAATATATATATTTAATATGCATTTATGTCTGTTCCCATGTAAATTTTGTTCAGTCCTTAATTATCAAGATTATATTAAATATTTCTTGATATTATTTTTTCCACATATAAATCACTAACCACAAAAATCGTTTGGCATTGGTTTTTATTTATAAATATTTCTTATATTTATATTGGGACCCTGTATACAAACATATATGTATGAATAAGCAAATATAAAATGCTTTCTTCATAATAAAAAAATTCTTGTTTTCGTTCAAACTAACAAAGTTTAAAAAGCTACTGAAAAAAAGACAAGCTAATACTGTAAATAATTGTTAAGAATAATATAAATATATTATCACTTGAATATTATTATAAAAAATAGCAAATTTAAATAGATAATCTTAACAAATTGAATACCAAGATTTTAAATTCAGCTGTCGTAAAAAGTCAGAATATTGGGAACATATCAATCAAGTTTAATTCCGCTATGATCGGTTGTTTATTTAAGCTTTGGGAGCAATTATTAGTATTATTATTATTAGACTCTTTTTAAAGATTTCAATTAATTTTACCTATACACTTAAACTCATAAGTGCATATTTAATGGAATGGATTCTTTCATTTTGACAACTTTCGATTATGGCCCAATGATTGATTGATTGTCAATTAGCAATAATGGTTATTGTAAATATTGAAGAGCTTATTGTTTAGTATGACTAATGTAACTTTTCAGGCAGTAAATTAACTGATATGAATAATTTGTAGTGTAGACAATCTTGATAGCTGTCGCTATTTAGATTGATGTCTCCGCGAACGTCAATCACAATTGACAATGAGAACTAACAATAAGATAAGTCAATATCTACTATCTTTGATAAAAGGAAACAAACAAGTAAGCGTGCTCTAGTCGGAAGTGCATAACTAGAAAAACCCGTGAAAACTCTTCCCTGGACCCACACTAAGTCTGGGCAATTCATGCTTGATTAACTTCAGTGTTAATTGTAGGATCCTTATGAAATTCTAAGGGCTTAAATATGGCACAAAAAAGTACGTAAATGGCATTACCTCTTAAAAAAAGTTGCATCCTAGAGTCTCTGGATTATATACTCTCCCAGAATTGCTGGAAAAACGTCTTATAGGAATTGATTTTAATTGATATCGCGGAGGCAGGACGAACTTTCGATCATTTGAAATACTCTTGATCTCTTACGTTAAAAAATGTTAATTCTTTAGCTCGTATAGTCTCTGAGATCGTGGCATATACGTACTCAGACAGGCCAGTTCGGCCTGATAGAGAGACAAGGGTAAATCGACTTGTCTATCAATGCTGACCAAGAATATGTATATATGTGCATTTTATGGGGTCGAAGAAGGAGGCGTTCTACTGCCTGTTTATAACTCTTTTACTCTTTCTATAAGAATCAATTGAAATGATCTTAAGATATCGCTTGATTAGTGCTGACATCGCACGTTGCAATCAAAGTGAAGAGAAAAACCACAGCTTCGCCAACAGCAAATCTTACTTGATCTTTGACAGAGACACTTATCGTTTCAGATAGCTCCGTCTGAAGCGTGTTCATGTGTTTGTTACGCAACGATTCAACTGGAAGATCAGCAGATCTTCACTCCAGAGCAACCACTAATTTGCTAACCATATTTTCCGCTCACTCAACAGGCGATTAGATTATGTAAACTACGTCACGCTCTGCACAGACGCATCTGAGACATGGGCCATCAACAGACGATCAACGCCCCGACCACGAGCCAGCCAGACCCAGTCTTCGAGTACGAGGCGGAGTCTACGAAGAAGTGCGTGCCACATGCAAAGTGAGACAATGTTGAACAAAGAGCTGATGATGATGACCAGCTGAGTGCAGGCCTCCCTCCGGCTCCGGCTCCGGCTCTGGCTCCGGTTGCCAACTGCAGGCAACTTTCACTTGGTCACGGTCATGGTCAACGGCCCCCGGCGGGTTTGCGGGGTAAGTGTTATCGCATTTCATAGCCCCGATAGGCCCGCATAGTGTATGAAGACTTTGTTTATCTTGTGCAATTTGTTATGGAATTTGAATTTGAAAACGAAATGAAAACGGAGACCAGCCAACGAACGACCAACTGACTGACTGAGCCGATTATATGTATCTCGAATTCTTGCCGACGTCATCGTGTGCACATATATGTGAATATTTATATATATATATACATATATAGATGTGAATATGTAGAAATGGAAAGATATAATAACAGGAAGAGGCAGAACACCAAGCGGCATTGCACACATATGCGATAAAGGCGAACCGATGATGTTGATGGGGATCCGGGACCTTGACAGCTCTGACAAAAAGTATTTACTCTTGTCGATAAGCAGCTACTGTTTAAAGAACGGAAATCATTGCACACAACTGTACTAATGGGCGATACACTGAGCAGAATCAATATGCCCAACTGAGTAGGGTAAGAATTACAAATTTATATAGACAAAGAAGGCAAGGATAAACGGCTTGCCTTACGATTATTAAGTTGGTTTTGCCAGATAACAGCAAAAATGTTCATAGAGTTTTAGCAAGAAGAAGATTAAATACTCTGATCAAAGATAAATGAGAAGGTTTGTGAAGCTCGTAACTGCTGGTTTTGACAAAATTTCTACTAAATCTAAACCCAAATAATCTTGAACCGATTTCTTTTATAGAACCATATTATATAGTGGTCCCCAGGTTGCTAAGCAGTTAAGATATCTTAAGAGCCGACCGATTATTCTTATGATATAAAGTTTTGCACATATGTAGGGAAATTGGAAATCTGATTATTGCCGAATTGGATCAAGATTTCTTAAATAAGAAACTGTTTCAGACAACCTAATTTATGACCAATTATTCCTATGACAACCATATGCTATAGCCATCCATATAAACTTGCTACATCAAATATATAGCTTTAAGATTGAGAGGAAATAAACAGACGTGCAAGACGCTATTGACTCGGCTGTTAATACTAGTCAATAATATATATATCTAAATGGATTGAATACGGCTTCTTTGAACGATTAAACATTGTGTTTTAAAAAAATCAAACCAAACATCAATTTCTATTTGTGTTATGCTCCTGATATATGAGCAAAATCTAATTATCATACCCCAATTAACTTCTTACATATTACGTTTCTTTCATCAGGAATACCTTTAGATATTCCATTGGATTAAGTAGTTAACCCTTGGCAATTAAAAAGCTGACAGCCCAAATTAGATACATTTTATTTACAGTTTAGTCTTAAAGATCATTGGATTTCCATCTACTATAATCTATTCTGTTCGGCCAGGGCCAAGCGATAATTATACTCCTGGAAGAGTTCGGGGGCCACGCGATAGGGTTGATCGATTAACGACAATCGAATGGGTGTCCGGCAGGAGGATGAGGCATAGGTGGGCTGCGGTGCCGGTGGTGCTGCATAGGCTGGTGCCGGGGGTGGTGGTGCTGCATAGGCTGGTGCTGGGGCTGGTGGTGCTGCATAGGCTGGTGCCGGGGCTGGTGCTGGAGCCGTGGGATAGCTGTAGAAGGGCACGCCCAGAAGGGGCAAATAGCCCGCACAAGCGGGCGCATTACAAGGTGCAGCTGGAGCTGGTGCTGGGGGCGCGGCATATGTAGGCAATTCAATTGGTGCTGGTGCTGGTTCCGGCGCTGGTGGCTCATAAGTCGGCGGTGCTGGCATTGGTGCCGGTGCTGGTGCCACAGTCTGGCTATCATAGCTTTGCTCCGGCTGCTTCAGCTTGGTCTCCTGCTCAGCCCTGACGGCGGGCGCGGCTGACAGATAAATGATGGGCTGGTAGACAATTTGCGGTGGCTGTGCATAGCTCTTGGCCGGCTGCGCATATTCCTCCACTTTGCTGTAGCTCTCGGGCGCGGGTGCCGGAACAGTATCATAGGTGGGTTCGGGCGTGCCTGGTGTTTCATAGCTGGCGGCAGGCGGTGCAGGCGCTGGCGCCTCATAGTCTACGGATGGCGGTGCTGGCGGATCTACATAGCCGGCATCTCCATCGCCGGGACCGTCATAGCTGGGATTAGGTGTCTCATAGCCGCTGCTAGGCGGCGCCGGCGCCGTATTATAGTCGACCGGAGGCGCTGGCACGGCTGGTTGTGGCTCCGGTGGTGCGTAGCCTTCACCACCGTAGCCTGGACCTGGACTTGGTGGTGCCGCATAGTTGTTCACCGGTTGCGGCAGCGGCTGAACACCACCACCGCACTGGCCAGCACAGGGACCTGCAAAGTTATTGCCCCACAGATCGGGCAGCTTCTTGAACAGCTTCATTTGTTTGAACGGATCCAAAGACTGCAATTGCAATCCATTGCAGTTATTGTTGTTGATGGCTGGAATGGCTGGCACCAGGTTATTGCTGTACAGCCAATTGTTGTAGTTGTTGTTGTTGTTAAGCAAATTGTTGTTGTTATTGTTGCAGCAATTGCTGGGCCCAAACAAATCCTCCCACCACTTCATAAGCGAACGATTCGTGCGCTTGAGCTCATCATTGGGACCCACCGTCGAACCGGCATCGGCCATAAGATAATACAATGGCTGTCCAGGTGCTGCAATGCTATTGGACATGCCCACCGTGCCATCAGGCTGCCGCGCCTGCGTGCATCCAGCCTGCCATGCGATGCAGACGCAGAGTAACGCCGCCACCAAGCAGCTCCAGGAATTGTGCATTTTGCGTTGACGTTTGTAACTTTAACCTCGCGTCGCGAATACTCAATTGCAACTATTCGACGAGCTCCAATTGCATCGAGCAATCACTGTCCAAAGTTGCCTAAAAAACTGCAAGCCTTGCACTTAAATACCCTGCCAGTTGAATGCACTCTCAATTGGCCATAATGTTTGACACGCACGCAAGTAGGCCAACTAAGCTCTGAGTATGCTCAGGGTCAATTAAAGTACTCCAGGAGAACTTTAAGCAGCCAGCACATATTTTAGCTAACACTATAAGAGTATATTCCTACTAAGCCCATTTATCACAGTGCAACTCAAGGTAAGTTCTTCGGAGGATGAAAAGCAAGGCAGACTTCCACTAAATCGCCAAAAATCAATTTTTGTAACTAAGCCCATCTGTTTTAAAGGCTCAACTAGATTTAAAATACATTTTATACTTAAGAAATAAATATAATCATGATTGTGGAGCCAATAAATCAGAAGCTACTTTAAGAGTTTTAATAAAATAAATTTCATTTCTTTTTTAACAAAAAACCACATAAAAGAATATTTTTTTTTATAGAAATATGATAATTATTATTATCATTATAAAGCCCATTAATATTAATTATAAATACAAAAAAAAAATCGTCAAGGCATATAATTATTCAATTCAATCTTATGCAGATCAAAGAGCATAACAGCTTCTACCTGGGACAGCAATTCTTTAATTATTTCATGAAGTAGCTTTGGCTTTGTCTTGGATTTCGCAAGCGAGTGTTCTAACCCGGTTAATAGAAATCCAATCGCAACAGCTGCGCCCATTCTGGCCAGCGCTTACTCAATCAGAGTGCTTGGACAATTGGCCGAGTACATTGACTCTACGCCTAAATTGCTTTATGTTATTTATCCTCAGTTTTGTTTTCATTTATTTAAATTGTGTTACGTGTCCAACATGACCAATCAGCAGACTGCAGCGACGAGCTGAGCCAAACCGAGCTGTACGTATCGAGTAAATAGGTTCCTGTTTGATCCGTGAAGCGTAGCTGCCATAAAGACGTGTTGCGCCAGTGGGAAACAAAAAAAATAAACGGAAGCACATCAAAGAAAATGTGCACAAAAAAAATATAAATATATGTATATAAAGAAACTGCATAATAAATATGTACACAAGTATTTATATAAAACACTTCCTTAAGTGGCCATTGGCTTATTCATCGCTAATAAACTGGGCGTCAAATATGCCATGGAGTTGGCAGAGTCCGATTGAGCACAAGCAATTGCCCAACTAGAAAACACCCTTTAGCTGATTGCAGTATGTAAGAGATGGCTACTTAAAGAAGAACCTTGACTTTTTATTATTTTGCATTAGCAATGAGACGGTTTTAACTCAAAATTTGATGCCTCTAGCTCTAATGATATCTGAGAGGGAGACAGTCTAACATTAGAGGAATCTGCAGCTCGGCATAGAGAGAGTCTAAAATGTCTAGAAACCTTGAATTCGAAGTAAGAGCTATCCAAGCAGACAATAGGAAAAATCGCATCTAATTTTCATGACTATCAAATATGCATAATGAATGAATCAAACAAGCTAATGAGTTCGGAATCGTCTTTCGCTGTCTGTTGCATGCCCATGCACCGACATTAATGGGTAAAGGGTAAGAAAAAAACTATCTGAGTCGTGCAGACTGAATAAATTGAATGCCCTGCTAATTGAAGAAATCTATGTATTAAACATTTTAAGCCAACAGCATGCAGTAAATTTTATAATTATTTTCTCATCTGCCATGAATTCATAGTTAAGACTGGCTTTAAATCTATAGAGCCAAACAAAATTCTTGAAAATAGATATTCTTGAGGCATTTTAGGCAAAGCATTTATATCTTATATCAAGTCAAACTGAAACTAAGTTAAGTCGAATCGGATGCAAAAATTTAAATACCCTTTGATATATCTAATGTTCCATCCAACAACCATATTGATGAGTCCGATGACTCGAATAGTTCTTAATCTAACTAAATCCAGTCACATCCATTGTTTGTTCAAAGAAAATCAAAAGGCAGATTTCAATAAGAACAGCAAACACATTCAAAGCAAATATTTAAAGAAAGTATCTGAAATTGATCAATAAATGAAATAAGAAGCGGACCGAGCGGTTATTTTGACCACTCAAGGTCCAAAACTGCACGGGTTTCTTTTTGTAGTAAACAACTAATTAGTTTTATTGATAGTTAGTTAGTTCATTCATAGAGCAAAAACTTATCTAGTTAGGATCTACAAGCGCTGCAGATATTTGCGCTTTTGGGAATTACTGTTGCTGTTGCGTGAATTGTGGCGTTTGCGCTTGTTTTCGTTTTTCAGTTTATCCTCGCCCTTTTTGAGTAGCTGCTCGACCGTCAGATCCTTGGACTCCAGAGATTTGGAGACTTCGGCATCTAGAGTAGAAGCCACGTCTTCAGTTGTGCCAGCCGTGTGCGGCGCATCAGTGGCTTCTTGTGATCCATCCTCTTCATCATCTTGTTCATCGTCGTCATCTTCCTTTTGGACGTCGTCCGAATCACGGGCGATGCCAACGACTGCCGCGGCTGGTAACGAGCTAACTTTGGAAGCTGGTGCTAATGTGCTGCTGGAGAAGTTCATGGTGAAGGTCTTGGGCGGCGGCTGTTGAAACTGTGGAGCTGCCTGCAATGTGGCAGTTGTGCTCTCCTCGGGTGCGCCGAACAGACGCAGCCTGGGCTGTTGGGTCGTTGGTGCGGCAGCGCCCAGTATTCTATTAAAAGGATTAAATGGATTCAAATTGCCGAACGGTCCAAAGGGATTTAGCACCGGCGCCAAACCAAACGGAGCACCCACTTGTGGAGCCATGCCAAAGTTTGAGCCAAGCTGAGGAGCTGACATGCCATAAGCCGAGCCAGCCTGCGGTCCCATTCCAAAGGCCGAACCCACCTGAGGCGATGCCATGCCAAAGTGATTGCCAAAGGGTGTACCCATTTGTGCAGCCAGGTTAAATGGTCCTCCAAATGAACTGCCCACCATAGACTCACGTGCCAACGCTGGCGACGACGATGCCCCTGACCCAGGCACAGCCAAATAATGTGTGGGCTGTTGCTGTCCATAGCAGGGCATTGCTATGATTACGGGCTGAAAGCTGGGACAATGGGCGGGTGTATTGTAGTTCGATGTGGACTCCAAGGGCGCAGAGCAGGGACGAGTACAAGAGTTGCAGGCATTGCCATCCACAGCTGAGCCGGGCGCTGGCGCGTAGCCCTGAGCCGAACTGGACTTCGGACTGGCATCGTAAGCGGGCTGACTTGGCGGCGCAGGAGGTGGTGCTGCTGTTGCTGTCTGTCCATACATGGGCATATAGCCCGATGCTGGTCGTGATGGTGGCGCCACTTGAGCCACTAGCGGCTCCATGGGAGCTGCCTGCTGCATGGGCGCCGCCTGAGCCACTTGTGGCTCATTGGGCTCCAGGCTGGCATAGAAGGTGCGCATCACCGGATCATCGTAATATGGTGGCAACTGGGCTGCTACTGTCGGCTGCTGCAGCTGTGTCTGCGCCAGTGGCATCCACATCATGGGCGGAGCAGCGCCCACCATGGGCTCGGGTAGTCTGTACTGCAAATTGAACTCCTGTTGCCGAAAGCCCACATCGGGCACATTCAGCACATCCTGATCCATGGCGATACGATGACGTTGACTGCTCACTAACGCATCATAGGGATTGCCATTGCTCGCTTGGCTGCTCGCAGGCTGCGATTTTGGTTGAGGCGCTGCTTGTGCAGCTGTCGGCGATTTCGTAGGCGCTGCAGCAGCATATGAATTGGGCGTGGTCGCTGGGCCTGAGCCTGCTGCAGTTCCGCGTGCAGCTGCTGCTGCGCCGCCTGCAGCTGAGTAAGAAACTGCTGGCACGCCATATGATTGCGGAGCAGGCCCAGCTGCAAAGGCAGCAGGAGCGGTTCCAAACTGTGCGGCGGCATGGGATTCACCAGCTGGCGACTGATTCTGATATGACGACGTTGGCGTTGCCTTGGGCGTTGCTTCTTCATAGCTGGACATGATCGGAAAAAACCCAGCGCCAAAGCTGGGAAACGATGGAAACGGCGCCTGAGCATATTGGCCATTCATGGGCATCGGCTGTGCCTCTGGCTGCGGATAATTTTGGATGGGTTGCGGCTGCTCTTCGGCTGCCGGCTGAGCTTGACCACCGCCACGTGAGAAATCGGTGCCCTTGCACATAAAATACGGCTCTTCCTGGGGTCCGCTCGGCTTGATCTCCACACAAATTGTCGTCAACGTGCGCTTGCTGCGATGCAGCGCCTCCAGCTGCTGCTCATGCTGCTCCTCCTGGGCCAGGCCGAGTGCCAGCGGGCACAGCAGCAGCAGCAGCCTCAAATGCTGTGAATAATTGACCATTGCTTCCGTTTACTAACTTCCGTTGCAGCCGGCTGCGGTGCTTTTATATGCTGGAAATGTGGCAATCGTCAGAGAGCGAGTATTACAAGACTAGATCCCCTCTGGATGGGAACATGAAACTCCCACGACTCACCCACAGAATTCTGTGTAATCTTGCGCAATCCGTGCAGCACTTCTTGGTTCACTTGCTCCCTTTATGGCTTAGCCTTTGGCGCTGCTCTGGTAATCGGAGTGTCTTTCACTTGAAATTCGTAGCACTGAATAAAAACCTTTATAACCATCTATAATGCCCCAACCTGTGCCAAAGGGGTTCAATATGAATTGACTACACTTTATAAGCTGGGGCATAACCATTTCGAGAGTCAACTCGAAATTTATATAAAAAAAAAAAATTACTTTTTTTTTATGATCATGATTATGTATGATAGATAATTCCCTGATGTTTCCGCGTGTTCATAATTAAATGATTATAAAATATTAAAATCGTACTCTTCAGCACAATAATAAAGAAAACCCAAACGTAATCATAATAAAACACATTTCTATATAAAAAAAAGAAAATGTGGATAAAAAAAGTTCTTAGAATTTAAAAATCTTTTCAAATACAACAAACACAGTATTTTTATAATATTTTTTTATTAATTTACTCAATATGATTCGACTTCT